CTGTTTTGAACATTGGGCTTTTCTACAAAGTCATTTAGCCACCTATCTCAGTTATTTAAGGACGGGAAAAAAAGAAAGAAAAAGGAAAATCACTAGAAGAAAACTGGCCTCGAAGTCAACAGACCTGATTTTCAGTCCCAGTTCCTTCACGCGTTAGTTTAGCTCTATGATGTATTATGTCCTTCTTTATAAAACATAGATGACCGTGAGAAAAAATAGAAAGTATCCAACATACTTGTATCCAATATAAGAGTTGGATGATTCCAACTCTTAACAGGGAGTTGTTTTGTTTAGTGCCAGCGAGTCGTTTCCAACTCATAGTGCCATGCACAAGAGACTGGCACACTGTGCCATTTCATGATCGTAGTTAGGTGTGAACCTATTGCTGCAGCCACTGTGTTCGTCCATCTTGTTTAAGGTCTGGCACTTTTTCAATGAACACCACAGTGTGCTGTGCTTCTCCAGCTACTGGCCCTCTTGATGACGTGCAAAGTCTGTGAGGAAAAGTCTCTCCATCCTCGATTCAGAGAAGAAATGACTAAGATCATAAGTTATATTGTGATGACCATAGGCCATATGAGAAATCATTTCATAAAAATAAATCTTTATTAATACAATACTTTAAAATTACATAAGCAATTATAGAATGTGATAGATTTACATAGCATAGTGTTATTTTTAAATAATACAAACATTCAATTTATTAAAAATCCATCCTCTAGATTTTTTATTAAGAACGTCTCATTCCAATTTTTGCTTAAGTATGATGTATAATTTGTTTTCCTGAAAAATTAAAAGGGAGTTTTGCCTGAATTAGATGACAATACCTAAATGCAGTAGGTGGTCTACATAGTTTTAATTCTAGTACCTCTGGAATGAAGATTTGTTATACTGGATTTATCTCTTTTTTTTGCTGATAATGAAATTTTTTTTTTAGTTTAGTTTATTTATTTTTTTTAATAGTTTTATTAGGGGCTTATACAACTCTTATCACAACCCATACATACATCAATTGTGTAAAGCGTATTTGTACATTCATTGCCCTCATCATTCTCAAAACATTTGCTCTCCACTTAAGCCCCTGGCATTAGGTCCTGTTTTTTCCCCCTCCCTCCCCGCTCCCCCCTCCCTGATGAGCCCTTGATAATTTATAAATTATTATTTTGTCATATCTTGCCCTGTCTGACGTCTCCCTTTACCCACTTTTCTGTTGTCTGTCCCCCAGGAAAGAGGTCACATGTAGATCCTTGTAATCGGTTCCCCCTTTCCAACCCACTCTCCCTCTACCCTCCCAGTATCTCCACTCACAACACAGGTCCTGAAGGGATCATCTGCCCTGGATTTCCTGTGTTTCCAGTTCCTATCTATACCAGTGTACACCCTCTGGTCTAGCCAGACTTGCAAGGTAGAATTGGGATCATGATAGTTGGGGGGGGGCGGGGGTGGAGGAAGCATTTAGGAACTAGAGGAAAGTTGTATTTTTCATCACTGCTACATCGTACCCTGTCTGGCTCATCTCCTCCCCGAAACCCCTCTGCAAGGGGATCTCCTTATAGGTCACAGATAATTAATGTCTCAGATTATATATATATATATAATCTGTGTGTGTGGAGGAGTAATGGGAAAAAAGACTTTAAAAATAATAACATTCTATAAATAGCAACTTATCCCTAGAGAATATAAAATCCAGTATTTTTGAAATTAATGAAATTTCATAACTTCATCAACTATGATAAAAACTTTATATACCTAATTTAGCTTGAAGGCCCAGATGAATCCGGTGTTGAGCAGTGCAACAAATACTTTAAAGAACCTTTTTATATCAAACATGATTAAATAAGATGGTTTTCTTGTCATCTTAGAATATAATTATTTCCTCTCTTTATTCATATAGCCTTGAGAAGTATATGAAATAGACAAAATTTCAATAAAGGTCTGGGAAAAGTAAAAAGTTTTGAATCCCATGTTTTAGCAAGAAGGCACTAATTTTTGTAAATCACCTAAATAGTATTCATTAAAGTGACAGGCACTTAATAGCCATCTGTAACAATGATTTTACTTTACATAAAATGTAGACCATATTAATATGTAAAGCATTTTATGTAAAGTTTAATTACTCTGATTCAAAATGTGCATTTTATCTCTTCTGTACAACTCAAATTTTATAACTTTATAAGATCTATACTAAAATATACTAAAAGATATATTGTTTCTGAAATTGAAGGAATATTCAGAGTGACTAATTTCTGTCCCATGATTTAAACACTCATCCTAATTTTGTGTTAATGAATGGATTTTTTTATAATTTCTAAGGTTTATCATCTAGACTATTAGTTTGGAGTATAAAATAAATACTAAATTAAAGTGTGTACATGCATTTTTGTATTTTAAGTTAAAAAATGGAAAACAGCCATACACACACACACAAGTCCTCTTCATTCTTGGTAAAAGTACACACTTCAGAGGACCTTAAGCTGTGCAATGACAGAGCTTAAAATAATTACAACACATGCCCAGACTTAGAGTAATGCCACCAGCACTTTTATGTTTTTGAGCTTCTTGCAAGATTTGTACAGCTTATCCCTATCTTGGGATTTTTATTTCCCAACAAAATAATGGTTTGCCTCAAAGTACAATTACTGCATTTTAAAGAACATAGAAAGTTGGGGTATTGAATGATGTTAACAAAAACTCCTAACTGGCATATGAAATGCAGACTTGGCTTAAAAAATAGCTTCATCTTATTTACAATAATGTGTGCTTACCACAATAGCGAACCACTTCCCCCTGTGATTTCATTTCAATGCTGCTCAGCATCAGCTGCAGCTATGAGTTCAGTAGTGTGCTTTAATCAAAGGTCAGAGAAGTAGCATCATTCCTAAGACCGCACAAGCTTAGTTTAGTCAGAAAAGCAGATAGAAGCTGCTTATTTAAGTCTGCATTTGTGTGGAGCTTATGAAGGTCACAGCTCACTATATATATAATTTGTTCCCTAGTTCATTCATTGAGCATGTTCATAGTTTTCACAAATAGTGTGGATTTCCTGTCCATTTATCATAAGCAAACCAGAACTTACATTTCAAAAAAGGGTTATTGAAAGACCTACTAAAAGATGTCTTTCATAAAAAGACACCTTTGATGCCTAACTCAAACATTTTTATGCAAAAGCACTTTAGTGGTAATCCAAAGTTAAATCTCCTACCATAGACTTGTTCTCACTCAGAGTGACTCTTGGGCAGAGGGGAACTGTGCTCCCTGATCGCCTCATGCTTCTCCTGCAGAGCCCTTGGTGGTCTTGAACTGCCATCCTGGGGGGTAGTCGCCCAGTGCTTACTTCCCAGTGTCACTAGGGCTCCTAACTTAGCAATAGAGCCTTATGAAACCATGTTTAGATGAAGAATTGCAGGAATAATTTCAAACTTTTTCTATCATGTAAATGCCTTACTTGAGTTTCTGTGGTTGTACGTGTCAGATACAGAGTAGTCAGCATTGCTCTGAAAAACAGCAAGTACTCTTCATTTTGTTATTTGTATTCCTGAGTAATATATGAAGACAATATACATCATAGGGACCAAATAAGTCTTTCAGGGTAACAGTTAAATCTTAAAATTTAATATCATATTAGGACATTTCCTATGGACAATAAAAGTTCATCTTATTTGGGCTTTTAAAGAAAACTACTAAAGTTTAATATCTTTTCTGTTCCCAAAAGCACCTTTAGACCATTAAAACGTCTTGACAAAATAAGGCTGTAACCTTAGGGAACAATTCTTGCAGCAAATAAAGCTCATAATGTACCAGGACCTATTGTCATAGCAAATATCTCCACAGGGCTTGTCTTGTCTAAGTACAAATCAGCAACTGAAAATATTTACATCTTGTCTAAGAGCACAGAACATATGTTCCACATTCATTATCCAAATGATTAAGCTATCAAAAAATATTTTCTCATTGAAGTATTGTCAGTGATCATGTAGACTACTTATTAAACATTTGTACAAAGGAGCTTCAAGAAGTTTGTGGAAAAATGTAATTGAAAGATGATGAATTTTTCCCCCCACAAACTTCTTGAAACCCGTGTGCTTTCCAGAATGTTTAAGGAAAACAACAAAAATAACATATCCACTTAACTTTCAATAGACTAATTTATGAAAATTTTAAGTTCTAGTGGCCCTGGATTTTGAGGGAAAAAATAACAAACAACTAAATGCTTAATATGGGTTCAGGAAGAGAGCAGTCGTCTTCAATGTTTATTATTTACAGTATTAATCACTTTGCAAATAGCAAATGTATGTACTTCCAGAGGATTAGTACAATGGTATGATAGAAGCAGGGATCCTGCAATCAGATTACCAAATTGAGCCCCAGCTATACCAATGACTTGTAGTCAGCTCTTAGTCAATTAGTCAGTTTCTATCCTGGTGTATACTTAGTATCCTCACTAGTTTATAAACATGTGTACTCATATAACATATCATATAGATACATGTACCATACAGATGTGGTTTATATGTATATGCATCTACACAAGTGAGATAGTTAAGGTTTATTGTGCCAACCTGGCTGATAAACACATGTGGGATTAACTGAAGGGCTGAGATAAATGGCTCAATGAGCCTCACCTTTCTAGTTCTCAGGTCTCAACAGGGTGCAGCTGCCTTAGCCAGTTCCCTGCTTCAGCTGGCAAGGCTCACTTCCTGCAAGACATCCCTGAGGAGAAGCCACATGGACCTACCCTGATGCAGCCCTGGGTGCTGGAGCAGCCGTGTGGAGAACCCTGCCAGTGCTGAGATGCTTACACGTTCACTAACAGGGCTTTCCTCCTGCAGTCAGCATCATAGTGTGTGTTTTGTGAGATGGAGGAGGACTTTGTAGGTTGGTGTCTGGACATATGGGGTAATGTTGACTTATGGGCTTGGACAACACTAGGTTGGGATGCTTTCTTAATGTACACTTACTCTTTATATAAAATTCTCTTATACATATGAATTTCTGTGGATTTGTTTCCCTAGTTTATCCAGACTAACACAATAAGAAAGGGGAAAAAAACATATATGAAGAAAAGTAACACAATAAAACTAATTGAGCAGTAAATTTAAAACACTTATCCTTACACTCATCCTGTCTTGATGATAAAAGGTCATATTTAGTCTTTCAAAAGTTTTTCACTCTGAAGTCGTTGGTAGTTGGAGCTTGGGCTGTGCTGCAGCATCTGTCTGGTGTTTCCTTCAACAAATCTTCTTAATACAGCCAGGAATAATCTAGTTAGGAAGAGCCATCCTTCTTAAAACTGTATACAGAATCAAGTCATGTCACTTGGAGGCTTCTTGCTTCCTGGGCCAACTTTTTGTAATGTTAGCTTTATGAGGTAGTCAATCAACAGCTTGGATATAAAATAAAAGTCAAGTGCTTATTTTCTTAAGCATAAGTCATCTTCCCAAGGTAGTTAGCAGGTACATATCCTTTCTGCCCTTGAGCTTCAGCTAACCACCACTCTTTATTGCCACTAAGGTCACAAAATCTAAGGATATGGACTCTTTGGTACTCCTGAAGGCTGAGTTCATGGTCACTCCGTGCTTGAAAGGCATGAACAGCATAGAATATCTAGACAAAGAAGCATGATATTGGAATAACAAATTAAAAATTCACACACGCATAATAAAGATTGCCATGTTTTCAGAAGGAATGCTAATGATTTGTTTGTTTTTTAACCAAACCCCATTGCCCAACAATTTCTGTCGGATTTATTTTACAAAAGTCTGGCCCAGAAGGGAGCAGAATAAAATAAACATGCTTAAATTTTGTTTGGAGGAGGCTAAACTGTTCATGGATCAAGAGTCAGTTGTGCAAACAGCAAGGGAATACTGCATGGTTTAAAATCGAGAAAGGTGTGTGTTGGGGTTGTATCCTCTCATCATACTTATTCAATCTGTGTGCTGAGCAAATTATCAGGGAAGCTGGCTTATATGACGAAGAATGTGGCATCAGGACTGGAGGAAGGCTTATTAACAACCTGTTGTTATATGCAAATGACACAGCCTTGCCAGCTGAAAGCAAGGGGGGCTTGAAGCACTTGCTGAGGAAGATCAAGGATTGCCACCTTCAGTATAGACTACAACTCAATGTAAAAAAAAAGAAAGATAGTCTGAAAAACTGGTCCAATAGTAAATGGAGAAAAGGTTGAAGTTGTCATGGATTTTTTCTTGCTTGGAAGCACAATCAATGCTCAGAAGAAGCAGTAGTGAAGAGAACAAAGGACAAACCACATTGGGTAAATCTGCTACACAAGACCTCTTTAAAGTGTTCAAAATCAAGGATGCTACTTTGAAGACTAAGGTGTGCCTGACCCAAGCCATGGTATAAAACTGGACATTGAAAAAGAGAGGCTGAAGAAGAATCGGTGCATTTGAATGATGGTGCTGGCAAAGAAGTACTATGGACTGCCAAAAGAACAAACACACCTGTCTAGAGTGCGTGCAGCCAGCATGCTCCTTAGAAGCAAGGATGGCGAGACTTTGTCTCACATGCATGGAACACATTGTTAGGAGAAACCCGTCCCTGAAGCAGGGCATCATGCTTGGTAAGTAGGGAGGCAGCAGAAAAGAGGCAGGCCCTCAACAAGATGGATTCACACAGTGGCTGCATCAATGGGCTCAAACAAAAACATTTCTGAAAATGGCACAAGCCTGGTTTTGTATGTAGGGTCGCTATGAGTCAGAACTGACTTGATAGCACTTAACAACAACAAACTGTCCAAACTTGAAGGTAATTTGGTGGCTTCTGTTAAAAATATTGTATAAGATTAATTCTTTTGAGTCTGTTATTCCAATATCCATTTGTTAGCTGTAAAGTAGGGAAGGGTAAACACTGGATTCATTAGGAGGAAAATAGACTCTCATACTGTAGACATTTGTAGTCACTAAAAATGGTAATTTCCAATTTCTAAAAATGGTACTATAACATGTACAAATGCTTAAGGTAAAATACCATCTGAAAGAAAGAAAAGCAGGATATACTCTAGTCTATATCAAATTAACTTAGTATTAAATAGGTTAAATGAGTGGGGAGATATAGGTTATATTCATTTTTACTTCTTTGTTCCTTTATTTGCATAGTGTTTATAACAACAATGTATTACATTTTAATTTTCAAGTTATTTTAGCAACTAAGAAAACATAAAACCATAATTCAGTCAAAATAATTTTTCTTTGTGCTCAGAAGTGTCCCTTCTCAGATCAGGTATCAGGCATCAAAGACAAAAAAAAAAAAATCATAGTATTGTGAATGAGGGTTAGTGCAGAGTGGGGACCCAAAGCCCACCTGTAGGCAGCTGGACATTCCCTTACAGAAGAGCCAGTCAGGATGCAGTGTAGCAATGGTGAAACATACAACTTTCCTCTAGTTCCTAAATGCTTCCTCCCCCCACTATCATGATCCCAATTCTACCTTACAAATCTGGCTAGACCAGAGGATGTACATTGGTACAGATAGGAACTGGGAATACAGGACATATGAACCCTTTGCCGGGAGGGTGGAGGAAGGGTGGGGTGGAAAGGGGAAACCAATTACAAGGATCTACATATAACCTCCTCCCTGGGGGACAGACAACAGAAAAGTGGGGGAAGGGAGACGTCGGACAGTGTAAGACATGACAAAACAATAATAATTTATAACTTATCAAGGATTCATGAGGGAGGAGGGAAGAGGAATGAGGGGAAAAGCGAGGAACTGATACCAAGGGCTCAAGTAGAAAGCAAATGTTTTGAGAATGATGAGGGCCATAAATGTACTAATGTGCTTGACACATTGGATTTATTGGATTGTGATGAGTTGTATGAGCCTCCAATAAAGTGATTATTGTATAAAAAGTGTCCCTTCTCACAGGATGAAAGTAAAAGGAAATAGAGGAAAGAACTGGGAGGCAATGGACATTTATAGAGATTTAAATACAGGGATGTATATATGTAAATACATTTAAATATAATGACAGGGAAATAGATCTATGCACACACATTTATTTATAAGGTATTATGGCAGCAGATGGACATTGGGCCTCCATTCAAGAGCTCCCTCAATGTAAGAACAATTTGTTCTACTAACATGGCACTCTGTGATATTCATCTTGACATGATTGCTGAAGACAAAGTGGGTGCATAAGCAAATGTGGTGAAGAAAACTGATGGTACCCAGCTATCAAAAGATATAGCATCTGGAGTCTTAAATGCTTAAAGATAAACAAGTGGCCATCTAGCTGAGAAGCAACAAAGCCCACATGGAAGAAGCACACCAGATGATCATGAGGGATCAAAGACCCAAAACAAAACAAACAACAAACAAATCATATCAATGGGAATGAGGGGGAGGGCAGAGAGGAGACCCCAAAGCCCATCAGTAGTCAATTGGACACCCTCTATCAGAAGGGCCACAAGGAAGGGATGAGCCAGTCAGGGTGTAGTACAGCACCAACGAAACATACAAACTTCCTCTAGTTCTTTATTGCTTCCTCTCCCCACTATCGTGACCCCAATTCTATCTTACAAATCTGGCTGGACCAGAACATGTACACTGGTACAGATAAGAGATCGCGACAGACACAGGGAATCCAGAACAGATAAACCCTTCAGAACCAATAAGGAGAGCAGTGATACTAGGAAGGGTAAGAGTGGGGTTGGGGGAGTAAGGGGGAACCGATCACAATGATTGATGTATGGCCCCCCTCCCAGGTGGATGGATAGCAGAAAAGTGGGTGAAGGGAGACAGCGGTCTGTGTAAGACATTAAAAATAATAATAATTTATAAATTATCAGGGGGACATGGGAGAAGAAGGGTGGGAGAGGGAAGGGGAAAAATGAGCTGATGCCAGGAGCTCAAGCAGAAAGAAAATGTTTTGAAAAGGATGATAACATATGCACAGATGTGTTTGACACAATGGATATATGTATGGATTGTGATAAGAGCTGTAAGAGCCCCCAATAAAAAAATTTTTAATGTCCCTTCTCCCCAGTATCCTAATATTGATAATAAAAATACATATCTATGGTGTAAAATTAACCAATTGTCTAAAACATTTAATCATCTACTTAATGAAATATTAGAAATATCTACTAAGATCCAGATACTGTGAAGAAACTAAACAAACTACCTAGAGGAAGAAGATCCAGGACCCCAACCTCCACCCCCAAAACACACAGAAGTTGACACATACACATGACATTGTTGTTAGGTGTCTCCAAGTGAGTTCCAACTCACAGTATGCAAACCAGAGCCAAACAGTGCTGGCTTTTGAGACTTCCACACAATGATAGGTTATGTTTTGAGGCCTGAGCCTTTTCCACTGACCCTCTCCTTGACCAAGAATGATGTTCTTCTCCACAGACTGGTCCATTCTGATAACATGCCCAAAGTAAGTGAGACAGAATCTCCCCACCTTTGCTTCTATGGAATATTCTGGCTATATTTTTTTCAAGACGAATTTATTCATTTTTCTGAAAGTCCCTGTATTGTATCCAATACTCTACACCAGTACCATAATTCAAACGCATCAGTTTTCCCTTGGTCTTCTTATCCCATAGCCAGCCTTTTGCATGCATATGAGGCCATTGAAAACAGCATGGCTTTGGAAAGATGTGCCTCAGTTCCCAAAGGGACATCTTTGCTTTTGCAACAGACTTACCCAGTGTAATACATCCTTTGATTTCTTGACTGGTACTTCCACATTGACAGTGGACCCGAGTAAAATGAAATCCAAGACAACTTTAATCTTTTCTTCATTTATTACGATGTTATTGGTACAGTTATGAGAATTTCTGTTTTCTTTACATTGAGGTATAATTCACACTGACAACTGCCTTTGAACTTCATCAATAAATGTTTCAGTCCTCTTCATTTTCAGCAAGGAAGGTTACGTCGTCTGTATTTCACATCTTCCTCCAATCCTGATTCCACATTCTTCGTCATCTAGTCCAGCTTCTTGGATTATGAGCTCCGCATACAGATTAAATAAACATGATGAACAGATACAAA